GGATGAGATAAAGAATGTGGGTTATTAGATATTAGTTTTCGCATACATTTGGGAACGAAAGGTGGTGACATTACATTGGTCGTGTCACAGTAAATTACAGTACCGTTAGTAGGTGATGGTAACTGCCTTAGCTTGAGACTAGACTTGTTTGTCGTAAGTAGGTTTCGTAATTCTTGATCCTCTTCTTCTCTGTTTCTCAATGTCTCGAAATTTACTGTAGACTGTTGTATCACATTCATTTCTAGTCAAGATAATGCATGAGACGCTGGGTTTTCCTGAGCTTTGACATGTCGGATATCACTTGGGAACTGTAATATATAGTCAAGGTGTCGGACTTCTCGAGGTGAGTGTTTATCGACTCTCGCTTTTAGTCCATTGTTCAGTGGTTTGTGATTCGTAAATACTATGAATTCCTTGCCTTCTAATATGTGCCAAAATGCTTAAGAGAGCATGTAATGAGTGGTAGTGATTAACGAACTTCTCAAGCAGATCTTCAATCCCTGTAGAGCTTGACTTGTTGTCCAACGCGCGGAGAACCAAGTCCACTTTGTAGTTTCTTGTCAAGCGACTGGTATCTCGAAATAAATCCATGATGCTTATAGAGATAACAAAACACCAATTTTATCTTTGGCGTGTGCAAACAAAATATGACCACACGGCAACATGTAGTCATTGAGAAGTTGACAAGCACATCGTGCCCGTGAATTATCGATAATATACATTATGCTCTTGCCGTAGCAGCGGATGTATTTCCCTGCTGTTACTTCGTGTTTCATTCTCCTAACTCGTTTATAATTTACAGCTGCGAAATCTGTGGGATCACTTAAAAGTTTAGAATGACTTTGGAACCTGAAATTGATGATAAATTTAACTACATTTCTTACCTCAAGCTATGGAAAACGTTAAAGATCCTTTAATCCGTCATGTGGACGCAAACGTAGGTCAGTGTCTGTCTTACCCCAGACTTTCCAGAGCATCAACAGAAGCGAATCACCTCCACTGAGACATTCTTTCATGTGTTTGTCAGCACTTTCCATAAGACTGTTTGTGTGGTTGTCCAGGCTTAGTGTATGACGCTGGTAACAGCGAGGCCACATTGACTTCCAAACAATTCAATTATCTCTTGTGTAATCATAGGCTCGTGAAATTGGGTTCTCAGACACCCATACTTCTAAGGAAATCTGAATATAAATCATTATGAAAAGAGAAGCTTGCGTGTCAGATCACCTGGTTTTTGTGAGATGTTCCAAGCATTTGCGTACATCGGGATTTCAGAACTACAGCATATAATTTTTACAGTTAGCCCTTACCTTCTTGGGAAGTGCCGTTAAGACATAGAATGAACTTAGTATTATATAGGCATGACTGTGTGTAGACTGTACCGAGGGAATTTCAGTCGCTGCCGAATCCGTAACGAAAGTGTTCGTATAATAAGTACCGCACATTATGTTTTTGAAGTATTCGAGTAGTCTTACGACATCTTCGCGTTGTTCTTGTCTGCAAAGTGCATACGTAACCGTGTGCCCTTGTGCAAGACTATCGGTAGCCACCAGCTGTAACAGTGGGGAACTTTTAGATAAATTTCTTACTATTCGTGACTTACCCAAATTTGTTGATCTGATAAGTCAAGTCAATACATACTACCTTTGGGAACGCGTGGTAAATAACTATTTTCTCACTGCGACTGAGGCAAGTCATAGATATGTTCCCATTTTTATTGAATACTTGTACTTCAGCGTTTCCCTGAACGCGCTGACAAATCTCGTTGATATTTTTAGCGTCCAAACTCAATCAATTAGAATGTGAGTTTAACAACCTAAGTACAATTGTGATCGCATTTTTGCGATATCGTCCTTGGTAAGCTGGTTATGGAACTTCCAATAAACCAAATATCGTAAGCTACGAGTTGGAGTATTGCTCAGTAGAAGCAGTCTTAAATATATTCATTCACTTGACGTCAACCGTCGTTTTGAAGGATCTACAAAAATATATCTTTCTGTGCGAGGATGGTTGTGTATGGTCCAAATCGAGGTGATCAGTAGCTCACCATTTACTGCACGGACCCAAAATCCAGATTGGCAGTGGCAATATTTAGATTTGAAAAATAAATTCGTCTGAAATGAAGCATACGTAGATGACCAACGTCGCCTTCTTCGTAAAGTTTTTATGGTAAGTTAGGAGTATGCTCTTCGGTAGAATGTTGATCACCATCATCATCTACATCCTGAAGACAGATATTTGATTCTGATGCACTGCATTAACGTCCATAAGTACAAACATATCTGAAGAAAAAATACCTTAGACTTGAGTCATCCTAATGTGAGTATATTGTACAGAGTATTATCAATCGCAGAAGATCTATTACCTCCTATGAACCCGTTGCTCATCTTGCTGTGCCAATGAAGTGTGGCAACTTGGACCGATGCATATATGCACCTGGTCCTAGGTTGTAGCTAACTGAATGACCTTTTGTACCTCTTTCAATCAGGCCCCGAAATTGTCCCAACTGCTAAGTCGTCGCGATAATATAATATCATTGAAGATTTAACGTATATCATGCATTATTATGATGGCATTACTTTCGTTACTTGAAGAATAGACGTTACCAAATATAGTGTGGCTGATTGTACGTGAATCTCACGCAGTTTATTCTAGCTGGTGCGCAAACCAACTTATACATTTTTCTCAAGCTACATTTTGATATTGTTAATATCCGCTTATCAACCTTGATTGTCTTTATGTGAGCGTGCGTGTGTGCATTTCTTATCTTACTCACAACATGTATGTGACCTATAAATGTGTGACTATAAATATAGATTAACGCTTGATTAAATCTAATTAGCTCGCACGCCTTCTCCACCGCTCGTCATTTCTCTTTCTCCCTTTGATCGTTCATCTGGATCAACGGCTGTATGAAGTACACGCCTTCTTATTTCCTTCTCGTATTTGACTTATTTAATTCATTCATTCACTAACGCTATTTAAGTCGATTGGCGACAAGTATATCTCAGTAGGAATCAGAAACGAGCCAGTTGGCGTCAGATCTCGGGTCATTAAAACTAATCAAATCTAAAATTGTCTTGATCTGAACGCTTCTGCAAAACCTCATAGATTGTCGAGGTGATGCACCAACCGTTTTACGACAATTTGATCTTTAAGTGCTCAGTAGCATTCAACCGTGGAGGATGCCAATGAGCGGTTGCCTCTCTGCCGTCTGTTCTTCTGCTTTATTGGACACGGCTAGTATTAGAATATTATAATGGTGTTATGACATTGTTTTAAACCATTCTACACTTCGTTGGAGTTTCGTCCCGGATTATTAATTGGAAAATGCTATCGGATTTAATCTTTCTCACTACGCCGTTGGTGTTATCACATGCAGAGAAACATCCGTTAATCAATTGGATCTATTTTTGATTGTTATCTCAGAAGCTTACAAGTAACATTCATTTCATAACAACTATTATCATTTTGTTATTTAATGTACCATTTTTATTGTGTTATTTGTTACCTTTTTGCTTTACTCATAAACCGACACTTAGGTTTGTAGTGTTAATTCATTTTGGTGTATCACTAGTAACTGTGCGTATTGTTATGTCTTGAATAAGCTCTTTTGCTGGGATCCGTCACAAACTGCAGCATAATCTAACCCTATTTTGTCTCTTGATCACATCATCTATATCGCTCTAACTTCGTTTCACCATAGTCTGCTTTGCGTTGTTATGTGATTTCGAGATTGTAACTGTAGATTCACATGCCTTAGTGCAGCCCATAACTTATTTGTTCTCGGACTGCTTTTTCTTTCTACTTGTACTAATGCCTACATCTGTTTGCTGGTTATCCGCCTATCTAAGGAGACCCAATTCGATGATCTAAAGCTGTGCTCATGATAACGCTGGCTTATCCCTCAAAAACTGATGAAGCGGTAAACAAATCCTCAAAATCAGTAGCTCTTCAAATGTTCGATATTAGATGCTGACAGCATTAGTTTTAATGGACTCACTTAGCTGAAGGCACTCGGTGGTTCATCCGCACTAGATCACGAGTGGAAACACTGTGCTCAACATCCCCTGCAATCGCTAGTCAGTCTAGATAGGTCGATTCCCGATATATTGATAGCCTATCAAATATATCTTCGAACCTCCTCTCTTCTGACTTTTGATTTCACTTGGTGGGTACGATTCATAGTAGATGTCACTGGTTAAAGCTTTGTGAAACTCCAAATACCCGTGGCATCTTCACGGAATTCTACTCATCTACTATTACTGGTTAATCTCAGGGTAATTTTCTAGGTGCGTCCAGCAACTCGGTCTCCTTAAGACTCAGCAGAGACTTTGTGGAACAATATGCTTTGCACAGTCAAGGTTATAGTGGTTTGCAGCACATTTCATATGCAGCCGGTGTGAGTTCGGTGCACATATTTTGATACCACTTATTGCCGTTGTCACATTGCATTCCATCATCGACAGGGAAGTGGCATGCAGGTCTGACACAACGATGTTTTAACCTGCACCATAAATTTGTTTCGTGATCTCACAGGAAGAACAATTGATCTCTAGAAAAAGTGTCTTCTAAGGCTTGACAAGTAATAGGCACTGAACACAAACAAAAACAGAGGTTTGCATATCACTGTACGTAACAACACTAAAACATCCGACTTCAGTAGTTACAAAAAGACCTTAACACCTTTGGATACAAACAACATACAAAGATATACACAACGAGGAAAACAATACCACTTACTTATTTTCTATTTGTACTCAAAAGTACAGATGATAAGTTACTTCAGAAAAATGGGATAGTCTTGAAGATCACTTGAACTTAAATGAATTCAATCAAAGCAGAAACAGCAGTCTCGATGCTTAATTAAGCGGTCAATACTATAAAATATACTAAGAGGAAAAATACCACTGCCCTTTTTACATAGCGCGCGACGTTCGGAAGTATCGGAGTACGTGTGGCTGAGGATATCTTCCCCATCATTTTCGACACATTAAAAAATGTGCTCATCTGACGTATTTTTCGGTGACACTTTCAATCAAAATCAGTGGAACAGCAAATGCGAGGACACTTGTCATATTGATATTGGTTATTCTAGCCATTCAGATGAGGTATGTACCGAACTATTAGTAGGGTGCTTTTATATTTTTTTTACTGGAGTTTATCATTATTCTACCGGTCCCAGCAATAATCGTTGCTTAACACATTAGTCACTGTGACAAAAATAAATACGTCGACGCACTTTTGAGAGCTTCAAGTCTTGTTTTTCCTTGATTGGCGCAAATATCGGTCTTACAGTAGGGTTTGGATATTTTCAGTTGAAGTTCCAAAGGAAGTTCGGTTCTTCTTATGAATTTCAGGAAACGGTGGAGGTTTGTGAAAATCATCTTGGATAGCTGTTTTTTATTGGCAATCCAGTTGTGAATACGTATATTTGACAACAGCTTTTTAGCAAAATCGTATTTCAGCAGTGCAACGTTTTGTGGAAATCTTTCTTTTGTAAATAGTCCGTTTTTGTTGTGACTTGGAAATGCCGTTGTAGTTATCTATGTACTAGTGATAGGCCCTTATGTGCTGTCACGAATGTGTCAGTGCAGTATCCCACAGCACAGCACAGTTATATGGAATCAGGATGAATAGAAAGAGTTGAAATGCTGCTATCAATGATAGCAAAATTGTTAAACATTAGATAACCTAATGTGTGAACATAACTTGGTTGCTGACTGACTTTCAGCATGTATGTTCTAGATGAATCAGTGAGTACACACGAAATCAGAATCAAGGATCCGTAGCTACTAGTCGAGTCATGTGTCATCTGGTTTCGCAATCTCAACTTCTGTCCGGCAAGATTGCCCACTATCTTCATCATAGACATAATTCTGGAAATAACGCACTCATCGTCTGAATTCTCAAGAATTGATCTCCTTCAAGGAAGTTCACTTGTCGACTTAGAATACGCAGATGACATAGTACTATTTGGTGATGATACTGGACACTGAGTAACAATGCCACGATGTTTGGGATGCGTGTCTTCCCTCTAGATGCAAGTTGTCGCTTCAGGAGTAGCCTGCATCAATATCTGAACTAAGGATAGGGAGTGAAGTAGTCGAACGTGTTGACAACTTCACTTATCTTGTAACTCTGGTCAGCCCTAATGGGTTGGTGTCTGACGAAATTTCAACACGGATTCAAAAAGCCCGTTCGACTTTTGCCAACTCACGTCACCTATGGCGCAGGCGAGATATCCGTCTATCAATTAAGGGACGAGTATACTGCGCGGCAGCTCGTTCTGTCCTATTTTACGACCGTGAAGCGTGGCCCTTAAGAGTTGAAGTTACTCGTATGCTACTAGTATTTGACCACAATTGTCTTAGAAATATTGCTCGCATCTGCTGGGATCACCGGATAAGTAATAGTGAGGTTAGACGCGGGGTATTAAGGAACGATGGTAAGTCAGTTGATGAGGTTGTGAATCTTCATCGACTGAGATGGTTGGGCCACGTGTTACGTATGCCTGAACACCGATTACCACGACGTGCAACGCTAACCGGTGTTGAAAATGGTTGGACGGAAGTTAGGGGTGGTCAAACCAAAACGCGGTATCAGTGCTTGAAGACACTAACTTCTAGTCTGAGCCATGTTGGTAGATGCAGACTACTTGTTTGGGGTCCGTGTGACTATCGTAACCAATGGTTGGAGACTATTTGTGACATGGCTCAGAATCGATCACAATGGCGTCGGTGTATACACTCTTTGTCTTCCTTTAAACCGTGAGATTAAAATTCCTTTATACCTTTCTTTCTACGAACTGATTTTTTCTTTATGTATTACATCCTTATACACAATCTTTCTTTTATAGATTACTACCATTGAAGTAACTACTTCTATGAATTCGGTGTTCATCTTGTTGTGCTAATGAGTTGTGGCAACTTCGGTCGGTGCACATATGTGCCTGGTCCTACGTTGTATCTGACTAATCACCTAGTTTATGATACTTTTGACTCATTTCTACTCATCATTCATTGTGTGAAACCTAGTTATTCCCAACTGTATAACTGTAGTCAACACTTAATTGATTTTTTTTTATTTCTGTATTATTTTTTGTCTGTTGCACCAGGTGATTTTTGTTTTTATTTGTGCGATCCATTTATCATACTGTTCTATTGTGCAGCGTGGATTATTTTTAAAATTCATAATATGATTCAATCATAATAATATTTGACGATTGTAGCTTATATTTTGAGAAAACTTTATTTTGTTATCATTACCATTTGACTGTTTCTTTATGTCAGCAATTTGAATCTGAATTGGAGGCTATGAATAATGGTGACTTGTCTTCAGTCGGAAATTTAGAATTACAATTAGCTGCCTGCAATCGAATTGTTTCTCTGTTATATAACCGTCTTTCAACAGATCACTTTCAACTAGTACAATTATTAAATAATTTGAACGAGTGTGTTGATTCAGTTTCTGTTACTTTGTCAACTTTATCCCAACTTAATCCACATCCTAGTGTTTTAGACATATGTTCTAATGTAACAACAACACGTAGTCAATTAAAACATATTCAGTCTCTCTTGCTATCCCGTGAACAAGATGCCTCAGATAATTTGAAAATCATTTATACATTCCAACAAAAATTAGAAGAACGCATTAAACAATGCAAAATCAAAGCTCAAAATTCACTTAAAACAGCTAAACACAATTCTGTTCAACTGATTCTATATCAAAGAATGAACAACTTAATCAGCAAACGTTTTCCGATCCAAAGTCTAATGGATTTAAAATCCAGGAGAAATTAAATACGAAACTGTAAGAAGTTTTTCTTTACAACCTCATTGATAAAATTTTCTCGATTGTTCCATAATTGTTTTTTCTTCGTTCATACATAACATTTGACAATACAAATTGTAACTGATTTGTTCGGAGTAAAACCTTTTGAAGTTTAATTATGCTATTAGATACACAAACCAAACGGGTTTTGAACCTACAATTTTCAACTTCATTTAAAGCTTATTGCCTCAACCACTAAGTTATGTGATCATTGTACTAAAAAGGCCACGTAAAAGCTATTGCTCATTGTGTAAGAAATTCCCCCTTGCTAGTTGTTTGCTAATAACTGATTAACTGGTTAAATTTCGATGTATCATGTTCCTGCGCTCAAATGCCGTCTAATGTCAAACAGTAGATGCGAGATGATAAATTTGGCACGCTATTGGTTGATGCCGTTTATGCACCTTTTCAAGGTCTGGATCAAGAGGACAGTAGTACGTCTATCCATGATTTGCGTACACCATTCGGTTTTGCATTTACAACTTCCAAGCCACTCCTAATTATGTAACTCATGTTGCAAGCTAAGAAGCGTGTGTATCTGTATCTGAATCGGACGTACACAGGACGTGAAAATGAGGTACTACAATAATCCTCGATTTAAAATATTACGAAGAGTGGTTGGGAGTAGAGATGTATCAGGGATCAGAAACACTTGGGATGAATTATGAAGCAATGTGGTTATTCCTAATGAGAAGAGTGATAATCATCAGTTTAATGTCTTGAATTTTGGCTTCTAAAACTAGTATTTAGTACAAGAGAACTTTTCTGTTAGAAGTTGTGTATTCAGAGTCATTTGCTGGTCACCTTTACGAAATTCTTCATGTCACCTGAGTATGGGATGTATCGTATTGGTGACAAATTTATTCTTAATCGTTATGTTTACATTTGCCAGTTTATTCATAAAATATTTTGATTCATTATGTATATAAATCATTTCTCACTATTTCGTTTTTAGTTATTAAAATATGGACTGGTTAATCCAAGGAATGTTCTCATCGTACACTAAAACATTCTGGTTTTTCTGAATCCGTTGAGCCAAGGAAGTGTGAATTACAAGAAGCTTTATTGAATGCAGTTGGTCAACTGGATCGTTTAAGAAAATACCGTATAAATCAAAAAACACGTATTGATCAGTTACAAGAACGATTAGATCATATGGGTAGTGAACTGGATTCCAGTGTAGATACTATTCGTCATCATCAAACAAATTATGAAGCACAAAAACGTAGAACCTCTATGGAGATTACTCATTTACGTAATCAATTAGCTAAAGCAACTGCTTTATTAGAACAGTTTAAATTATTCTTCAGTAAAACAAATCTGAACACTAGTTCTTTGAACCAAAATATGCGAGGTTTGTGCTTTGTAAGATTGAAATTTGTTGTAATTTGTTTGTGTCTAGTGACTGATTTGATCTCACGCCTATCTGTCTCTTGCTTTTCAATTGTTGGTTTATTGTGTTAATCTCTTATCGTTAGTTTGATGATATGAAACGTTTATTATAGTGTTTCCTTACCGACAGATAAGTAATTTTTGTTGTGTCGTCTTACTAATAAGAGAGCTTGTATTCTCCTGTGTTTTTGTAATAATTTTGTCAAGTTTATTCTTTTACACTAAGGATTCCTCCCTCGCACGGTTTACTAACTTTTTATTTCAGCACTTTGAAATAATTACTTACTGAAACTGTCCCAGTGCGTTAATGTGACGCACTTTTTAATGGTTAAAGCAACGAGTAAAAGAAACTGAATAACTATCTTACTCCATGTATTGATTTTAAGTCATGCACTATAGGCACTCACAAAATTGTGTTTCGATATACAGTTCCAGATGTATTTAAATACAACCATATGTAATTTTTAAAAAACCAATCATAAAGTAAGTTCAACGAAATTATAATATTTTCTATTTCAAACAATGTGTTGTAGTACTCAATAAATGATCTATCAACAATTCGTATTTACTAATGCGATCACCTTTTTTGATCTTAATTATTTGGACAAATATATTAGCTGATTAAGCTGAAATTCGCTTGAAAGTTCAGACGTATGGTACGAAATAAAGCAATTATTATCACCTTTATGAATGATGTATTTTTCCCTTAGATGTAATTTCAAAAAATATGCTTCATCTCTCCCAGGTTTTCATACTATGTAACTAGAGCGTTGACACCATAGTTGATTAAGTACTCGACTATTTGCTTTATATTTCCATAGGACAATCTGAAATGCTGATGAACTATGCTTAATAGATCCTGTAGGTATCTTATCAGAGTCACAAATTATTAAATATGCTAAATTCCTTTCAGTATCAAATGGTGAGTAAGCTACTTCCTGGTAGACAAAGAATTTGATCAATTTAATCACTCCATATTACCGTATGTTTGATAAATAGTGTTTTCTGTTTTATTGCTCTGGTATCATTATATCATTCTGTTTGTTGGTGATTATAATATAAGTTAATTAATTAACTCATTCACCAGGTTCTTGGGTATGAGCCACACTCAAAGTGTAGGGACTAATGATATTGCCCGCCCGCCCAAACGGAAATAGATGGAGTGGGATTCAAACGTGGTCATGTGTGGCTCCGTTTTCATTTCATCATTCAATTTACAAGCTCTCTACTTCGTATGCCCCAAATGCCCTGGTACGACCGAGAGTGGGGAGGGTCTGCTGTCCCTCTCGAAATGCTCTCACATAGCCACGCGTATATAGCCTCTGTCAGGGAAGTCCTAATCACTGCCTTCTCGTGACAGGAGTGTTGTTTACGAAAATGAGAGGACGAAAAGCAAATGTCCGGCGCTTTAACCGGACTCCAAACCAATGGTGCACATGGGCTCCAGTATCCTGTGGGAACAAATGGCGTATGAACCAATTGTTGGTCACCGGCTTCCATAGGACTGCATCTCCTTACGATGCTCCACTGCCTTGTGGATCAGACCTTCAGGTCGAAGGCTCCGGGTGTGGCCCTCTAAAAAAACCACCTGCTTCGGTTTGGGCACCCGGGCAGTATCACAGCCCTCACACATATCGAATGAGATTTGTGTGGCGCATATGTATTTGGTGCCTCCTTGTACCAATATCTATGTGTTAAAATAAATAAATAAATAAATGTCATATCGATATAAGAGATAAGTGTAAATAAGTAAAACTTTCAATAATGTGAATATTACTATTATCTTTTTTACTTCATAGTTCTCATTGGGAATTTACTAAAACATTTACACACAAATAATGAACTGCAAGATATAGATACTTTAAGTATCGATGATTTAAAACTGAAATTATCTACTGCTCAAAATGAGCTTACTCAATTACGATTAGATATGGCACGTCAAAGAGAAGATGATGATCGTGAGGCATCAAGACTTCGGGGTCAGTTAGCTGAAGCAAGTTCAGATGCAAGAGCTTTACGGATGCAGTTAAATCGCCTTATATCACAAAGCATTTCTTCAAGCAAACTTAATAGTTTGGCGAATACAAACTCATCTGACTCCTCAAACTGTACAAACTGTCAAAAACTTCAACGTCTCAACGATGTTTTACAACGGAAACAATCTAAAATGAACCCGTTTCCTGATTTAATCAATCATCAAGGGAATATAATAAATCATCAGAATTTTGTTTGTGAGGACAGCATCGTTACGAAGAAAGCGATACACAAGCCACACTTTATAGACAGTTTCGTTCAAACAGATTTGTTGAATGATATTCCCGCAACTGATTTTGTCCAAAAGGTTGATATAGCTATTGACCCTATTGATGGATACGATAACATCTCACCACATCTCCCGGTTAAAAATTGTAAACATATTCAAACGGAATCATTCATCATAGGTAAATTTTAGACGTTCAACCCTCCTGTTATTTGGTTTTTGTTATTTCATTTATGGACTATATCTTTTGTTAATTTCTGCAGTCTGCTCAAATTGAATCATCCTGACCACGAATATAGATGTTCCATAATTAGAGAAATTAGTAGGCAATAAGAATTTAGTGATGACAATGATCGTTTGATTTATACATTTCATTGTTATTTTCCCTGCCGATAACTTCGGGGTATTGGGGTTGGGCCTGTTTACATGTATATATAAGTTTATACTCCAGTTATCATTTATTTGCATTTATCTTTACAAAGGAAAGAAATCAGAATACTTGTGATGTATGTTGTTTACGTCGACAGATATAAGTAGTATGTAACACGGATCAGAAGCCGGATGTGTTGTGACTTTAAGCCCAGCTGGTTATCACGTGATTTATTCGCCAATCGAAATACGACTTATTCAATATTAGCACTGCTAAACCAATGACGTTCGACCGGTATGAGCAGCCTAGCGTCCTTATTGGTCCTTTGTTCTTATAGCCCGTCCAGTTGAGTCCAGAACGCCAATAACAGCTTCCACTATGTGAATCATTTATTTTAAACATACTTGGTTTATATACCAGCCAAACAGACCGCATTACACCCTAAAATAGAAAATAACATTTATACAAGTCCAAGCCAAAAAGTGGCTGTGAACGTGGGAGGCTGTAATCAATTAACTGAACATAACTTAAGAACAGTAAGTCGTTTCATAATAATCTATAGGCCGAAATGAAGCTTGTAATAAGAGGAATACAGATATACATGATCTAGTTACTGAACAGTTATACAATAGGTATATATATATAATTAGTCCATTAATAGTTCTCAGAAGTTGCCTGAAATTTAATCTTCACTAGGATATAACAGAATGCCTGGCAGCATAAGATTGGGAAGATCGAATTGAAGATAACAGAAATATAAAGAGTAATTGTGATAACAACTGATGGAAGATGTGTAAATGAAATATTTAATGTATGGTTTTCATATTTCACGAAGATACTCCGTAATTTTCGCATTCAACAATAAATTGGTCTTCCACACCTCCTGACTTCTGGTTAGCTACAACTAACGAAGTAGTATTTGGGTTAAGCATCACAGTTGTTACTATTTCAAGAATAACTAATCGATTGTTGTGCTACTTTTCATATTTATCTGGTATGATGAGATTTCTCAGATGAACTGTTTCACTGAAAATTAATTAATCTTTGTTTTGTACATAGTTATCTTATGATTATTATAGTTTTTGCTCTTATCTGTTTTAACTGGTGGTAGGCAATGACATAACTTCATCCGGTGTAATTTTGATGGATAAAAGTTTAAAATATGGTAGTGTGGACGAACCAAGCATCCTAAGTGAGGTTCAGTTAAATAATCTTCATGTATCCAATAAATCGGCACCAGTATCATTAATGAGAAAGACAATGAAGCAGTAATAAATAGTTATCAAAATTCGATGCTCATTCAATTAGTGAATTAAAGCATGATAACTTGGTTAACCCGAACCAAAGTGTTGATGAAGATTCGTTACATTCTCAGTTGTTACAGCGAATAAAAGTAGCTGAGGAGGAAGCGATTATGGCTATGGATCAGTTGAAGGCAAGTAATGCAGAGTTTCTTACTTTGAAAGAACGCTTATCCCATGCAACTGTAGAACGTGCACATTTAAAAGCAACCATTGAAGGATTGGATGAACAGGTTAGTTACGTTTTGTGAAGTAAATTTTTATTTGAAGCATTTGTTTTTATTAGTTGACATAATAAGACAACTTAACATTATTGTACATATATTTTACTCAGGTCGCGTTGCTTGAAGACTCTTTGTATGAGCGTACACAGGAACTTCGTAGAAGTCAAATACTTCTTGGAAAATATTGTCCAACGTATCAACAGCCTGTGACATCATATTCTGTTGAACCTGAAATACCGTAAGTTCCAACCATATGGTTATTTTATGAAGTACCACCCTTCGTTATATCTTATGGTTATTTAGATTTTGCGTTCAGCACTTAGTTCAATGAGTATTAGTTTATACTATTTCTTTGGATAAAATCCTAGAAGATTTTCAGACAAACTCTGACAAAAACAAACTAGGAATAGTTTCCTGTTTAGAAAATTCCGCCTGATACCTTCATTAGTTGTGTTTATATTTGACTTGTATTTCAACTCCTCACTTACTACTATGTTGAACTGATAAGTGATAAACAAAAATCCCTTGTTAATCCACTTGAATTAAGGTGTTTTTAGACGTTTCGTACACACCTAGATATTCTCTTCCTCTATGCACCACCTTTGCTAAATTGAAGTAAGAGTTTCATATGGAATTATCACTGGGTTACTTTTTTAAGGGATTCATCAAACTATTAAACCTAGATTATAATCCTTTGGTCGATAGTAATTGATGATCATGAACTTCTTGAATAGCATAAGTTATGATCGACCATACAGGTCCAAGAACATTTACTCTGATTTTCTCCAAATGCCAAATATCGTGAGTTCGAATCCTAAGAGTGGGATCGTGGATGCACACTGCTGAGGAGTTCCATACTAGGACAAGACGGCCTTCCAGTGCTTCCAGGTTTTCCAAGGTGGTCTAGCTTTAATTAATTCAACTATTAAATTACTAAATATCTGATTATCTTATACCTGTTTTCTTAATTTATTCTACTTCACTTAAGCCAGTCTTAAGATTTCCAATGGATATTCGTGATTCGTAAGTTTCAGTAGCAAGTTTAAAAATTTTGTAGGATGTTAACTTCCAGTACATTTACACATCTGTACTACGTGTATATTATTGTATATAATTCAGTGGCTTTTTATTTAATACATTCAATTCTTGGACTCGAATCGTATCACTAGGGCTTACACTAGAAATGTGAGTAAAAGCCACGTCTCTGAAGAAGTGGCTTACACTGAGTCACGGAATGTCAGCAAATCTAATTCCTCTACTGATTGGGATATTACAAACACATTATTTTTATTTATAACGATCTACCCCATGCTCAATTTATTTGAAATTATCAAGTCAAACCTTGGTAATGATACTTGCAATACGTGTATTATTGTGTAGATCATATGAATATTTTTTTGCTTGTTATTTTTTTCTAGGACATCGGAAATATCTATTAAAATACATGAACCAAACAATAATTATACAGACGAATCAGCAGTTGTTGATTTAAGAGGTCTTCCTCAGTCTTTTGAACCTACAGAATCATTTCTACGTTCTCTACCCATCAGATTTAAATCCTTACATCAATTAAGTAAGATTTTGTACTGTACTTAATGTATAACGTATTCTACTTGTGCGAACTTGCTTTTAACTGAATAAATGCAATTTGTATAACAGTTGGGTTATGAGCAAAGAATATAGATTAATTTTTGTATGTTGTGTATGACTTTAATGTCGGGTGTTATTATGTTGAAACTGTCAGAAAAGTTTCAAGATCAGTTAACTCATTCACCCAGTACTTAGGCATGAATCACACTGCAAGTGTGAGAGCTAGTGAGATACCATCCAGTTGCCTGAACCGAAGTAGTCGGGGCTCGGGTTCCAACCTGACACTTAGTGGGTGAAATTCCAATACCTTAGCGCACAAACCACTACTCCACCGGAAAAAAATTAAAGTGATTTGATACCGATTAACAAACAGTGAGATTTAAAGAATAAAATCGACTGTTTCACCTGATATTAGTTTCTTATAGATATATATGTTATTTTATAATATTATTATTTTCTTTACTCAATAATACCACTTTATTTTTATTATACTTATTGTTGTAGTTAACCTAAAGGATTGGCTATCTGTTTATTGAAGCAGTTGGTTGTACGTAGTCAACAACTAACACCCAGAATGTTTAGTGGTATAAGATTTACCTCATTTCGTCTGCAAAGTCAACCTAGACCTAAAGCAATGTTTATATTCTTGACTTATTTCTTTGTTGTACATCTAATGCTATTACATTGCTGGTTATTGTAAATATCTTGGTATTTTCTTCCTCTCTCTATCACTATTCTCTATTTCTCTGTACAATATTTCGCTTGATGTATTACTTTCAGTTATCATCTCTCTGATTATTTAATATGAATTCTTTTTTGTCAGTAGCCATTGTGATATGTCTCCACTTACTTCTTACAAACTTAGAGACTCTGTTCATTCTACCAATTGACCACTTTTTAAACTCTCGCTATGAAGTCCTTGAATTCCTATTCTTCATGATTTGATGTTACTATTTTATTTTTCTGCAAACCTGTGTTAATTTTCTTTTTTTATGTCAAATGAATTTATCAATAAAGTAACATACATACTTATAAACATACTTGTAGTTTGTCTTTTCACTTCCTTTCCTGATGAATTTGTGTATGCATATTATTTATAAGACATGTGTCTATTCGACTTGTTATATGTGCATTTGGCATAAGATTAATGTTTTTGTAATGGGTTTACGCACCGAGTCATTAGCGATGAATAAAGTTATTAAAATAGCATGTTCGCTCCAGTTGATGTTGCCGTAGTCCTTATAATGTTTTATGTTTTATACCAAGCGATCTGAAAATATCAATAATTACGTATTTCTAATTGTTTGCAGAGTGAAAGATTGGAGAAGTTGGTTAAGTAATTCTCGTGTGAATACAGTTTCGTCATATCTTCGTAAATTGCCATAATATGTAACATGTATTGTATTATACCGTATAATGGAGTTTTAATTTCTATTATTTGTATAAGCTAATCCATAATTTTAAAAAAACTGAACTCCTAATTAGGTATTATCATTGTAGTTTAGTGGCTTGGGGTAAGATCTCTGAGAAGCGATCAATCCCATGTTTGTTTAGTCTTATAATTGGTAATCAAGTTGCATTGTAGCCACTGGTTTAGGTGAGTCGACAACGCATGCACTGTGTTGAAATGTTAAGTAGTGGTTGGAGGTATTTAACCATCGAACATCTTTTTACTTCGAATGATACTGCTACAGAGTCTTAACAATCCTTTTTGATAGTTTACTCTGTTTATAAACAAATATGCTTGAATAATGTAGGTATTTTCATCTAAATCGCTAAGAATACATGTAATAAGTTGTATTTTTGCTGTTTACTAATCCTTCGTAATCAATAACCATGCATTATATTCTTGAATCTCAGTGAAACAGGAGATTGTAGGAGCAATTATATTTGCTGTATGTTTATGCTATTGAGTCGCATCCGTTCAGTATGATCTTATCAGTCTTTCGAACTTCACTACTGAGTTTTTCATTTTAATTACAGTTTTATAAGGCTCATCACTATGAAGTAGGCTCGTAACATTATCTAGTCTATCGGGATGTTCAGAACTAACCATGTAGATCAGACATATTTTCCTTGCACTTATACAGAACTGTTATTCTCTACGAATGAGAAGTTCTAGTGTATTTCCCTTCAAACTGATAACGTTAAGTAATGTCTTAAATGTATAATTCTCATGTATAGATTTATGTTTCTTCACGTCTTTACTTAGTAAAATTCAGGTTAAGCGTCTACTTCACCAACTCTGTATATAGTGATATGATGAAAAATATATTACAGTGTATTTAGGTTTCTTTTAGAAATGCGAACAAGTGCAAATTATCAGAAACCATAAAAAAGTTAATCTAATCCGTTGAAATCATGTTACGAAATTCTTTCTATATAGTAACAAATTACATTCTAAAACTCAATGTAACAGCTTGAATAATAATATTTAAGTATATCTGATATGTTTTTGAGTAGAAAAGCGAGCGATTTGTGGCTGATCACTTCTAATTAGACCTAAAATTACTTAGGAATTGGGTCATCCAACTATACTGATTTTGCTTGGTTAAAGAAATCACTTCTCAATCTTGATGACTATAACTACCGTAGTAGCATTCACTAAATCTGTTGTAAATTTCTTGCATATTTCCCAATAGAATTTGTTGTGGAGCGAAAAATTGTAAATTGCATATTCGGACTGTTTCTGTGTGATTCTCTGAGACTTAAAATATCTATCATTGATGTTTTAATCTGTAGACGCTCGGATTAAATGGTTCATGTTGTTAATTCCCAATCATTCCCATCCAGTACTTTCTCAACTTCGTAACTATTATGAGAATTAGAAACATTTATTCGAATTATATAGTCTACTTTCAATCTTGATTTTTTCAATTATTCCTCAGATAGTCTTGAAGTATTTCTTTCTTCCCTTAAGCTTACTTTGTTTTCAATCGAATCTCTGACCGTCGTTTGTTTTTATTGTGAAAAGTTAGTTTGAAATTTGTTGAATTCAGTTTTATGTTTCATTACTTCCTTATACTAATATCTATGTTGTTTCCGGTCAACTGATTCCAACTCGTTTTCAAAATACAGTGCATCAATCACAATTGATTGATCACTGAGTAGTGGTGATCAATGTCATGTGTGTCAAGTTATCAGTGCATCAATCCTTAACTTCTAGGTTGATGCAAGTAATTGTAGGATTCTTTATGTGATCTTTTGATGTTCATCAAATTAAGTGGGAACCCATTTACCTAGCTTGTAGCTTACCGAAAAATATTCTTTTAAACCAAATTAAATCCGATTCTATGGAGTGTTTTCATCTAACTAGTCCCTAATGCTGTTGTTGATGTTCTTCTTGGTGGATCTTTTTGTATTTTCTCTACAGAACTAAGAAACTATGGCACGTCATTACTTGTTTCCTGCTGTGAAATTACTCAAGCAGAAATGTTTTCCATCCCTCAGTGGAATGAAGAGTTGTCAGAATTTTTCCAGTATGCAAGTCGACGAAACAGAAGGCGCTAACTTCAAACGTTTCGCCCAGCATTGGTGGGACTATGATGGTGAGTGCTGTGTAATTTCTCACTATTTGTCTCGATACTGCTTTTGTTTACTTGTACATGTTTGAATATTGTGTGGATTTTAAGTCATAAGGCTCGACAGGTAATCCTAAAGGTCTTCTTGATCCTGTTTACTGTTGTGTATATCTTTAAAAGGTTATATATTCATTTTATGCTACTTTGAAAATCAGTAGTTTTGTCCACTGTTTTTGTGGAACACTGACTTAATGGCTAAAACATTTGTCTTTCTCAACCAGTACGCTTCATGTTCTGGTCTCAAACCACTTTGATTTTACTGTTCAAGTAGTATCATTGACGCTCTTTCAAACAATTGATCTCAAAGTAGAATACTTTGAAATCTCCTTGGTATATAAGGTATATGTTATTCACATGATATATGTTTTATATTTATATTGTGACTCAGTAACTAGAATATTTGACGAACTAATCACCAAACACAAACTTTTTCATAATTTATGGATATATAAACGATCTAGGGACTGAATTACAGTAAACATGTAGCTTCATAGATTTTATCAACTCAAATATCAATGAAATGCCTATTATTTACTTACAGGAAGTGTGGTATATTTATGAATCTTTCTATTAACTTTAAGCAACATCTCAAGTATACATGCTTCATGAACTGTTAAATTGCATGTTTTGTCTTTCGCAATTGTTTTCTGCCATTGAGATCGGTAAATGATACGTGTTTCTGAGAAGGTTCTTTTAAATCTAATGGTGAATTCGTAAATTTCTTCAAATTCTTTCTTAAATGTATTAGTTTACTTTAAGATATCTTCATAAGTTTATCTCTTCAGTCCATAATATTTCAAGTTAGCTTAAATTTGGCGACCTTCTTGAATATCTGGGTTACCTGTTTCTGACATCAACATATCTGGACAAGTTATGTGTCTTTTGCGTGTTTATGAAGAGCTTACGATCTTTCGCCGTACGAGTTACAAAAAAGTATGGTCAGAGACATTGTGATGGATGTCAATATGCATTGAAAAGAATGATCATTGTTCAGATGTCAATTCTTGAACTGCTAACATCTAACTGGTGATCACTCAATATTTATCGTCAGGATAGATGAAGAAATAAAGAAAGCAAACTTGTTGAAATACTTTGTGCTGAGAATTCTATGTTGTACCAAAAATATATTGAATAAAGCCATTAATAATAATAATCTTATTTGCTACCTAGATACAAAAGTTGGGATGGTCTGTCGTGACTACTCTATTAAATGTACCGTTTGTGCCTCAAGGTCCTAGTTGGATAAATATAAAATTAGAGCCAAGTAGATCCTTTCGAAATTACAAAGTTGTGCTTTTGATTGTGCCAGAGTGTGGCAAAAGTTAGGGACTTGACGGATAAGCAATATCTCCAGAGGTTCTGCCTTTCTATAATTAGAAAATTGTGGTGTGCACTATAATTGATTTTATGAGACAAAATGGTACATATCAGGAATTCATTAAATATTGGATACATATGTGACATTGAATTAAGTCATCCTAATCAGTTTAGTTATGTTTGTACATTTTTTGTAATCTATTGGTTTTATTTTTGTTTTCACTATTGGTTGTTCAGATAGTACATTAACTAACTAACCAAGTACACTTTTTTGTATTTGGCTTTAAATCACGCAGTGCGTTGGTGATGCTACTTGTCTGTCCTCACTGAAGTATATGAAACAGGATTTAAACCTATGACCTGCTAGTTGAAAGTACAACTAGGCACCAAATATATATGAACCACATTTCACCATTCGATCTGTGTGAGGGTGAGAATACTGCCCGGTCGCCCAAAGTGAAGCGGGTGATTTTCTTAGTAGACTGCTTCCCGAGACTTTAACCTAGAGGTCTAATCCACAAGGCAGTGGAGCAACGTTAGGAGATGCAGTTTCATGGTAGCCGATGACCGATAATAGGTTCATACACCATTTGTTCCCTCAGGATCTTGGAACGTATATACACCATTGTTTTGGAGTCAGGGTTTTCCAACTCCCTTAGGTGTATCTTCTATATCCACCAACCTAGTTGAAGCACCGGACATGCGCTTTTCATCTTCTGAATTTCGTAAGAAAACCCCTCGCCTCGAGAAAGCAGTTAGCAGGACTTTCCTGGTAGTGGTTGTATACTCGTGGCCATGGGATATCATTTGGAGAGAAAGAGAGAACTGATTCTCCCAACCCTCAGTCGTACCAGGGCGTTTGGGGGCCTGTTACCAATATAATCGCTGTCGAATTTAAATTGTAGAAAATAATATGCACTCATTATTACAAACAGTACAATGTACTAATTCCTTTTATTAGTTACACATCGTCTCTAGTTATTTAATTGCACCTCTTTATATATTATCTCATTTGTTGACAGGTTGCATTCATCTTGGTTTCACTGTTCATTTACTTATATCTAGTATCGTATAAATATGTGATAGTTACATATGATTGTTGTAAACGGATAAAACTACTTTCTACGTATATATTTTATTTTCAAAGGAGATTTACAGCCATTGCATACTATGAATCGTTTGCGTGTACCATTTATTCAAAATGGTCTTTGTCCATTAACTACATTATCTACAATTGATTCAGTTTGTTTACCTTTGAAAGGTACGAAGATTTTAGATGTTGGTTGTGGTGGAGGTATTCTAGCGGAAGTGAGTTATTTCTTATCATGTTTGCATTTATTTATCGGTCGTTAATGTATCTGCATAAATTGCATTTATAAAAGTATGTCTTATCTGTATTCGAAGTTTTCACTTTATGAAATATCTAGTCGTTCACTTTTTTCGTACACTATTTAGAAGTGCCCATTTAGCCATTCTTATAATACCAGAATCAATCAACTGTTGATTATCAAGGTGGGTTGATCAACATGTTCTCATAATAACAACTTTCTCTGAACGTCGTCAGTCTGTGTTTCGTTTTATTAAGGTTTCATGATGAAGTGTAAGTTGACTGAAAGTGATCATCTTTGGAGCTATCAATCCTGGTTCTCTGCTAGCTGAAGGTCGTCTTCAGGACATATTTGTAATATTTAGGGATCTAATATGTGCCCTGTCACTTAATGTCACATTCTAAGAATTTACTACTGAGCTATTCGGGTCGTGACTGGCCTCTTAGAGAGCTGAGGTATTTATACCGACTGATCGTTTAGTCACAGTCAATGTCAGGTTATCTAATTTTTGAAGTCGAAAAAATCCCATTGGTCTAAAGATAAAATTAAAAATGTTTTAAGTGGTCAGATCAGAAGTTGACTGTGGTTCATGTCATTCACTATAATTCACAGATTTGTACATAAATGTAAATTCTCTCAGGAGTTCGCGATATAGTTGGTTATTAGAAAGGATTGAGAAATTAAAACAAATGAATGGATGGGATCGTATCATGTATTAGGTTACAGATTTCATTGGTATCTGTCTTCAATCAATGATTCATATCGTTTGAGAAAACAAAGCTTTTCGAGTTAAAACACATTGTGTACTTTAACCTGATTGCCAATATCATCTTGATAATTTATTGTCATCTTCAAAGCAGTTATACAATGTAACATACTTAATAACTCTTCGAATAACACATTACTTTACAGGCTGACAAATTAGTCATCAAATTCATCCCTTAATTTTTATGGTTATATTGTGAACGTTTGCTGACTAGTTATAAATTTACTTTTTGAAATGTTAAAGGACGAAACATACACCAAACATTTGAAAAGCTTCATTCAGAACGCTAAAAGGGTTGTACTTTCATAAAAATGCTTACTATATTTTAGGCAGATTATTTTTGTTAATATAACGACGACATCCACTAGTCTAAGTGACTCGAAACTGTTTGCACTATGTCTATATACTAGGTGGTTGGGGATAGCCTTCGAAAGACCCTGGATCAACGTTTCGTTCTAGTTGACAATCTTAATGAGACTGATTCTCCCCATGGGATTCGAGCCTATGTCTCTCTGCTACACAATCTTAAACGTCACAACTTCGTTTTTAGGACGTTGAATTACCTCCTGCATCACTGTGATATTTATAATTGATTCGGAACGTTGTAATGTATTGGATTCCAGGTACGCCTCTCTGGAGAGTACCGACTGGGACGAAACTTCGGCCCATGGTTTCCTGTCGACTGCTTCCAACCGCCTAATATCAAGAACGATCATCATAGTATACATTCACTAAGTTGCCATACGAATAATTATAATACAGTTGATTTATTTACATTTTATCCAGTTACCCACATATTTTTTTAGCTTTCAAGAGTTCAGTCGTTATTCGTCTATCGTGCAATTTGAGATTTTATCTAATTATTTACTTAGAAGATAACTCAGTTAGATGATATTTCTTTCTGTCGAAAAAAACTCATCACTTTTTTAAGATGTTTCATAAAAGTAGCTTTAGTTTCCTAAATCGCTTAATTTTTTCAATTAATATTTCTTTTAATAAATCTTTCATATTGTTTATCTTGGAATAATTCCTTACTAGGCACTATCTATGTTGGGAGCAGAAGTTTTGGGCATAGACTTAGTAGAAGAAGGTATAAAAGTAGCACAAGAACATGTTGAAGCTACATCTTATCGTTGGGTTGATCATCCAGATTTACATAAACCTACATATAAACTTACTAGTGTGCAATCAATTAGTCAAGAATATCCATGTCAATTCGACGCAGTTGTTGCGTCTGAAGTATTAGAACACGTTACTGATTGGGAGGATATGTTGAACAGTTTAAAACAGTGCTTGAAAGTAAGAAATATTTCATAGATATTATTCTTGAATATGTATATAATAGTTTTTAGTTCTTTAATCCCCATTGTTCATCAAGATCATATTTACTCTCAAATCCTTCGATAATAAACGAAACAGCATTCACGGAGAAATCTCTTCACAAACAATATTAACAGTGTGTCGTAATGTTGAAAAAAGAACGTTTTGCATTTACACACATGATAATAGATGATACCAATACCAAGATGGGACTTGATATTTTCAAATAAATTGAGGATTGGCTAAAAAGTAAATAACAAATATACTTTTCTAATATCCCAATGAATAAAAAAATGGTATTTCTGACGTTTCGTGACTTAACGTAAGTCACGATCGGTTATTTGTATGCTCGGGAGAAGTGACTTACATTAAGTAATAAAACGTCAGAAATACAATTTTCTGCTCATTGAGATATAGTTATTACTAATAGATAATACGTTTTGATACACTAACACTGTACTCAGTAACTTCAATCGTAGCTAGCTTTCCCGTAGTGGTCGTGCTTACGTATCATAATGACTCGGTCGAGCTATATTAGGTGAAACAGTTGTTCCTACCATCCCAGGGAGGCCGGTTGGGGAACGTCAAAACTAGAAGCAGAAAACTCATGGTTCGAGGACAAAGTCGTGCTGCTCGTTGTACTGAATTATGGCGTCAGTAGGATGTTTCCCTCAGAAGTCAGCATCTGCAGCGAATCTACCTTCTCACAACAAAAGCAAGAGATTAGAAATAGTCGATCTCAAAAATTTCATACCTTACCTGCATACAAATTCTGATTACGATTACTAAAAGCCAACAAACATTGTGTCAAGAAATATTGTTTGCTGTCAACTTTGCTTTCAAAAAAACAGCAAATTCATTCACCATTCGATATAAAATGAACTATGCTTTCAAGTCTATAAGTGATAGCTTCGTTGTTTGATAATGACGACAGTTGTCGAGATAGTGTATTTTTAGTACGTTTATCAAAGACCAGTAATGTGTTGTTTATGTGATATCTCAAACCAAGTATAGCAACACTCCTACGATTAATTTCTATTATAGTTAATTGTTGTCAAGCCCTTTTATTAACTTATTTAACAGACAATGCTATTCAGATAGTAACAATTCGTCTATTTCTTTGTATCATTATGATTACTATCATGTCTGTATAAGCATGTATGTTTGATCACATGTAACAACCTACGCACATATCTCTCTAGCTTAAATGTTAATCATTTGAATATCGCTCGATGAATCATTCTCTTTCCTATGTATATAGATGCTTGAAGTGCCTTGCATAGCTACGCCTTGATTCTATTTGACTGTGAATTCGCCTCTGTATTCGCTAGCACACACAAGAGCCTATCCACTCCAATTCGCTCGATGTGCTTGTAAATTTTTTATCTGTGCTATCCGCTAATAAACAGTAGTCGCCGCTTCTTATTGCCTTCTGAATTCAAACACCGTCGAGTTTTCTATAATAACGGTTATCAAGGTGATTGATTAACGAAGTTAAGCCACTACAAATGTTTTGGAAACTTTGTAGAATAAGATCTATCATAATCATTTTCATTGGAATACCTCAAATATAATAAAGATTTGCTCGCATTACTCAGCTTTATGATTGAAGATCTACAAAGGCAAATGGCCGATTAACTTCATCTGAATCAGTGTAATACTTTTGCCAGTGAAAGATCGCCATCAATGTAACTGAACTTAAGAATACTTGACTCTATCCTCATACTCTCTTTTCTTTTTTCGTGTCTAAAAATACTGATAATATTTATCAAAATCATTCCATAATAGACATTTATATGAAGAATGAAACTACCAAATTGGTAAACCGAAGTTTGTACTCATCAATGTGTATAAGTGATTTTTTCCAGATTTCAATCAATGTTGACGGAGTTACACGACCTTTGAGTGCTGTTAGAGGTATCATGGCGGTTATTACTTCCCGGTTTCCCGCACCGTGAAAGGAGTTTTCAGAGGTACCTGAAAAGGAGATTGGGGTCCGAGTTGGTCTTAGTAACCTACGAACGTGACCGCAGTGCTCAAGGGATAACGTCTTGAGGTCGGTCACACACGACCTTTGCGTGAGTAGTTTTCGTGTTAGCTCAGTACTTGTTGAGACCTTACTGTCTAAAACGGAAATCCATAGCGTAGGACAAGGTGTGCATTTTTAGGGTCGACCTCTTCTAACTTCACCCTTCCTTATGAGAATGCTGCATCGCTGTTATACTGGTTGTTTGGCGTCATACGTTTGTGCAGTCAGCCGTACGACTTCGTCCTCGGACCTTGGGTTTGCTGCTTTTAGTCTTACCGCTCTTCAACCGACCTGTTTGGCATAGTAGGACCTTTATGAACGATTGTTCCAGTCAGTATAGCTCGATTGGTTCATCATGATAGGCTATCCCGACCACCACGTCAAGGTAGCAACAACGGTTGGGTTACACGACCTAATTATTTTGAAATCTACTTCAGTTATAATGTGGTGTGTGTTACTTATATTGACATAAGTAGTATATGATGTTAGTCAGGAACAGAAGGTCTGGCAGCAGAGAGACAAGAGGATCTAACAGTAAAGGATGGAAACAGGATGCAATTTGTATGAAAATGCAAGAACAATGAAGTCTGATTCATTTTAAGACAATTGGTGGACATTTTGCAAATTAAGCATTTACTTTATGATTGTTAGATTTTATTAACAAGTCCTGTGATTTTGTGTTAAATACATTTGATTGTCCCGGCCCGTGTTCGGTTCACTACAGTAATACTTGTCGTAATAAATATGAATGAATTGAAAACGTGCTGATTAGTTTCACACGAATTTAAAATTTTGTAGTTTATGCGTTCAACCCACAACTCAAGGTCTGAGGGCGAAGTCGTACTGCTGACTGTAGAGAGGTGTGACAGCAGTAAGGTGTTTCCCTCGGACAACCAGCATGACAGCGATGCTGCCTTCCCACAAGGAGGGGTGGGGTTAGAAAAGGTCGACCCTAAAAATGTCACACCTCACCTTACCTCACGGATTTCCGTCTCCGGCGGTAAGGCCCTTTGAAGAACGGAGCTAACACGTCAAAAACCTTCCACAAAAAGGCCGTGCGCGACCGGCCTCAAGCAGTTGTCCCTTGGGCTCTGCGGTCACGCTCCCAGGTCGTCAAGACCAACACTAATCCAATTTCCTTTTCAGGTTCCTCAAGAAATACCCTTCCACGGTGTGGGCAGCCGGGAAGTGACATCAGCCCTCATACCCGTAACAGCACAAGAGACCAAGGTGGTCACATTCAAATCCTTCCTACACCTCCTAATACCTCTCTTATCTCCATGACTAACCCTCCTCACGTCTCTTTATCACCTCGCACCGCTAGGGCAAACGATTCGAGTACGTGGAACGCCATTCCTGGTCTCCTGAAACCACGCTCTAAACTACACGTAGGAGCTTTTAACGTACGAACACTTTGCCAAATAGGACAGCAGGCTTCCTTAGCTAAAACTTTAGAATCTCGCGCCATCGATGTGTGCTGCGTCTCCGAAACGCGCATACAGGATCCGAGTAGCGTCATTCATTTGACCTCACCATGCCAAAATAAAGAACCGACTCGATTTACGCTTCGTGTATCTGGAAGCCCTGATTCTGCTTCCCGTGGCCTCGCCGGCGTAGGTATAGCATTGAGTCCTAGGGCAGAACTAGCTCTCTTAGAGTGGATCCCAGTAGACAGTCGTTTGTGCGCTGTCCGACTGAACGGAACAGTAAGAATCCGGAAAGATAGGGACACTCGTCGTTGCCTCTTCGTCGTCTCTGCCTATTCTCCCACTGACTGCAGCTCAGATGATGTAAAAGATGAGTTTTACAGAAAGCTTTCGGACCTTCTCCGAAAAGCTAGGCGCTCGGATGTAGTAATAGTGGCCGGTGACTTTAATGCTCAAGTAGGTAAACTAAGCGATAGGGAAAGACACCTAGGTGGATCTTATGGTGTCGTGGCTCAAAGAACAGATAATGGCGACCGTCTGTTGCAGCTATGCTCAGATAACCGCCTGTTCCTTGCAAATACTAACTTTAAGCATAAGGAAAAACATCTTTTAACATGGCGACCCCCTAATTCGTCCCAACGTTGGACCCAAATAGATCACATCGCTATCAGCCACCGATGGAGGGGCTCGATAGAAGACTGTCGCTCATTCTGGAGCACATGCCTAGATTCAGATCATGCTCTAGTGCGAGCGCGTATTTGCTTGCGTCTTACTGGACGTAGGAAAGACGCTGCAAGGAAACCTCTTAGGGCCTACTTAATGATAGTCAAGCTAAGAGTATATTTCAGGAACAACTAGGAAAACAGTTAGGCAGCCATGTATGTGATGCCCACCCCGATGCAGCATGGAATGATATCCGAAAAGCTGTGGAAACAGCAGTGATATCTGCTAGTAAGGTAAACCAGAAGGTTAGGGAGCAACACTGGATCTCAGCAGCATCTATCGCACTGATAGATGCTCGGAAACTCATTCCACCTGGCTCTGAACATAATGAAGAGCGGAGTCAGCTTAAGCGCAAGCTGACAAGAAGTCTACGCAATGATCGCGAACAGTGGTGGGTAGCGAAAGCAAGAGAGATGGAAAAGGCAGCGGCAATAGGTAATAGCAGACAATTGTTCAGACTCGTTAAGGAAACCGGAATTAGGAACCCGACCGTTAGCGAAACAATCTCAGAGAAAGATGGACATATTATTCATTCTCAATCCAGGAGATTGGATCGATGGGCAGAACACTTTAGGGATCAGTTCAACTGGCCTTCAGCCACACTTCGGTTTCCCACGATCTCAGTCAACCTGAATGGCAAGTTAATGTAGGTCCTCCGTCCCTTTACGAAGTTGAAAAAGCCATAGGAAATCTGAAACGAGGGAGAGCAGCAGGCCCTGACAGGTTTACTCCTGAGATTTTTAAGGATGGTGGTCCAGTATTAGCAATGAGATTAACTGAGGTCTTAGGTAGAATTTGGGAACTGGACGTAATCCCATCTGACTGGTCTCAATCACTGATTGTGCCAGTCTATAAGAAAGGACAAAAGTCCTCTTGTGACAATCACAGAGGAATCAGTTTGACTAATATAGTGTCTAAAATATTAGCTTCAATAATACTTCGACGCCTAATCAAAGCTCGTGAAGAGCAGATTAGAGAAAACCAGGCTGGTTTTCGACCTGGACGTGGTTGTATAGATCAGATATTCACACTACGTCAGGTTCTAGAACACAGACACACATTCAGACGCCCCACAATGGTAGTATTTCTCGACCTTAAGGCGGCATTCGACTCTGTTGATCGTGAGGTTCTATGGCAGTGTTTGTCACTGAAAGGAGTACCAAAGAAGTACATTAACCTTATAAAGGCTCTCTACTCGAACACAACTGGTAGAGTGAGAGCTTATGGCGAACTGTCATCAGAATTGATTACCTCAAGTGGTGTTCGTCAGGGCTGTCCACTCTCCCCATTCTTGTTCAACTTTGTGGTCGACGTACTTTTAGAGATAACACTCTCCTCATCTAAATTTCCAGGGGTTGAACTTCTACCGGGAGGTTCACTTGTTGACTTAGAATATGCTGATGACATAGTTTTATTTGGTGAAGACGCTGACAAAATGCAGAGTCTTCTGACCACTCTAAGCAACAATGCAAGCATGTTCGGGATGCGATTCTCTCCCTCGAAATGCAAAATGTTGCTTCAGGATTGGGTTACATCGACACCCGAACTAGTGATAGGGAGTGAAGTAGTTGAGTGTGTCGACCGCTTCACTTATCTTGGAAGTCTCATCAGCCCTTGTGGTTTAGTGTGTGACGAAATCTCAGCACGGATACAGAAGGCTCGACTAGCTTTTGCCAACTTGCGTCATTTATGGCGTAGGCGAGATATCCGTCTATCAACCAAAGGACGTGTTTACTGCGCAGCAGTTCGTTCCGTCCTACTTTATGGCAGTGAAACATGGCCGGTAAGAGTAGAGGATATCCGTAGGTTACTAGTATTTGATCATAGGTGTCTTCGAAACATTGCTCGTATATCATGGGACCATCGAGTAAGTAACAGTTGTTAGGAAACGGGTACTAGGTAAGGATGGCAAATCAATTGATGAGGTAGTGAAACTTCATCAGTTGAGATGGCTGGGACACGTGTTACGTATGCCCAACGACCGACTGCCTCGACGTGCTATGTTCAGTGGTATAGGAGTAGGTTGGAAGAAAGCTAGGGGCGGCCAAACCAAAACATGGCACAAGTCCATGAAGTCACTGACAAGTGACTGAGTCATGTTGGTAGGTGTAGACTACCTGGTTGGGGACCGCGAGATGATAGCAACCGATGGTTAGAGACCCTGAATGACATGGCTCAAAATCGTTTGCAATGGCGCAGGTGCATCCACTCTCTGTGTTCTCCCAAATTCTAATCTTCTGAATCCTTCATGTCCCTTTTTTCCTCTTTCCAAATTTATTTCACTGGATTATACTCTTTAAATAACATCTCCAAACCCTAATCTTCCCGATTACTGCTTATACTCTTATTACCTCTACCACTACGGGATTTGAATCGACAACTGCATCTCTGTGCTAATGTGGTGTGGCAACTCGAACTGATGTACGTACGTACGAAGTTCTACGTTGATACTGACTGACTGAAAACCCACATTCATTTGCTATGGATGTTTGGCTACAGAGTAGCATAGGACTCTAACGACTTGTATAACACTTACATTTCATGTATATTTCATCCTTGAATCCATTAAACTGGACATAATTGATGGATGGTGTAGTGTTTGTCACTTGTTATATCTAGATGTGGTTAACTTACTTGTCCCTTGGTACTGAAACCCTCAAATATGATGATGTATAGTGAACATACAAAGGCTAGTTCAAATATATATATTTGAACCCGGAAATAAATCAAAATAATGTGTGAATACACCACTTTTTATGTGATTTATTAACAGTCAGATTTGTGTAATTTGGAACTTAGTAGTAATTAATATCAATTAATCACTAACTTACTACGTGACCAATTCTTTACATTACCGTACAATTAGGGGTCTATAACCAACAGACCGAACTAATTGACTAAGTCTTATAATTGCACCTTCTCAGGATGTGATTATATGTCATAGACAGTTGGGAAAAAATATTAACGTTATATGTCATTCCCACTTTAATCGATTTATTCACTACTCACCATATCAGATTGTATTTTAACTCCCACTACTAAACTGTCAATAAATATTGCTCTCTGTACACTTTCGAATTATTTTGTTGATGTTTTTGTTTTTGTGTTTTTCAATTAAATTCTGTTATTTAATTGGTGTTATTTATAATCTCTTTCTTCTCAGTTAGAAGGAATGTTATTCGTAACTACAATAAATCGTACTACGGCTTCATTACTACTAGGAATTGGTGTAGCTGAATATGTAGCTCGTATTGTTCCACGTGGTACTCATGATTGGAATAAATTCATTGAACCTAGTCGGCTACAGATTGCTTGTATCAAGCGTAAGTTCTAATAGTGGATTTTATTTTATTCCATTTTATTTGTGTTTTCTTTTTAGTTATTTGATTGTCTTGATTACCATGATACGGAATAATAATCATTATAATCACAATATTTATAAGACTAAAATTAACCATCATGGTAATAACCACTTTAGGCTGAGGATAATGTAATCTTTTAAGTAGTCAAACACTAATGTATATTAGTATAAGGGTTTGTGGAGATCGGGCACAGAACCTTCGGTCTAACGCACGAATGCTTAAACTCTAAACCACTGAGGCATTATTCGACGGTGTTGATGTATAATTTCAATCAATCCACAATCTTGCACAAACCTTCATCCATTGCTCGTGGTCGATAACTTTCCCATCCAACACGGATTCTCACTAGAACTCCAGAAGTTATATCTTGCAGTTAGTCACTAGTTAGCTTATGATTATATTGGTATGGGGGATTTATGGAGGTTGTAGTATTTTCATATTTGAAATTACAAACCGATCTTAGCTGTATATAAACTTTTTAACTCTAACCTTACTTTCTAGTTGCTTTTTTGTTTACTTGTTTAGGTGGTTTGCAACCGCGTCAACTCAGTGGAATGTTATATAACCCATTAAGTCGTCGATGGCGTTGGAGTAGTAATTTATCACTAAATTATGCATTCAGTGCTATGAAAATCGATGAATAAATGAGATGAAGAACACCAATTATAAATGCATTTGTTCTTCGTCAACTGTTTCTTTCTCAATCTATTAATTTAGTAAAAGCAAAGTGTGATCAATTATCACGAATTTATTGACACATTCTTTCCATTGTTTGCTATCGATAACATTATATAATAAGCTGATAATTATTGTAAAGTCTTGTCAACTCATTAGATAATTATCAAAAACTTAAGCATTAAGTTTTTTCAACTAAGTGATTTACGGTATTAGCTTTTATGTATTATTTATTTATTTTAACACATAGATATTGGTACGAGGAGGCACCAAATACATATGCGCCACACAAATCTCATTTGATATTTGTGAGGGTTATGATACTGCCCGGGTGCCCAAACCGAAGCAGGTGGTTTTCTTAGGGGGCCACACCGGAGCCTTCGACCTGAAGGTCTGATTCACAAGGCAGTGGAACAACGTAAGGAGATGCATTCCCATGGTAGCCGGTGTCCAACGATTGGTTCATACGCCATTTGTTCCTTCAGGTTATTGGAGCCCATGTGCACCATTGGTTTGGAATCAGGGTTTTCCAACTCCTCTAGGTGGACTCTCCATATCCACCGATTCGGTTAAAGCGCCGGACATTCGCTTTTCGTTTTATCAATTTCGTAAACAACATCCCCGCCACGAGAAGGCAGTGAGTAGGACTTCCCTGGCAGAGGCTATATACGCGTGGCCGAGGGAGAGCGGACTCACTCCACTCTCTGCCGTACCAGGGCATTTGGGGGCCTTAACTTTATAGCAGTCATGAGAGCTAATGCTGTAGAACATTAGTGTTTTATTTACCGTAACTAATTTGCATATTGTATGCTGTTTTTTACTAACCTTTTACTTTGAATCGAACTTTCGTCTATGTCACTAAATACAATATTTTTGTCTTTTGTCTTATTTTATTCGTATACACATACATTAGTACAAGGATGCACCAAATACATATGCGTCACACAATAACAATAAGGTTGTCAAGTGATAGAGAATGTAAAGTGCGTACAAGAAAAAGGAGAACAACGAACAGAAATTAGTGTATGGGAGTGAAATGGTAATGGGAGAAACAGTTCATTTAGCAAGAATATAACCATAACGAATTCTTTCAGTTAAAGAAGTTACGGTCACTTTTTATGAAGTAAGTTACAGCTTGATCGCCACTGGCTCCTATTCTGAGTCATATCTGATACAGGTACAAGGGGGCACCAGATTCAGATGCGCCACACAATAATAATGAGAATGGGAAGAGATAAAGAATGTAAGGTGTGTATAAGAGAGAAGAAAAAAAGAATAACGACCACAGATTAGTGTATGGTACTGAAATAATAGTAATAATAATGGGGGAAACAGAAAGATACAACCAGAAAAAATTCCTATAGTTAAAAAAGTTACGGTCACATTTTATGAAGAAAGAAAAGAACGTTGTAGCAGGATCACCATTGACTTCTATTCTGAGCCATATCTGAAAACGTCTCTAGTCACTGTGTTGCACCATCTCTAGGATCCCAATCAGGGAGTAGTGAAGGACCAACACAAGCCAGGCCTGTACAGCTTTCTTTCACACCATGTCATACACTGACCACCTATCCGCTTTTTCCAACCAGTCCCAGAGTCAGCAAATAATGCACGACGTGGAATTCTCTGATACGACATTCGTAGAACATGTCCAAGCCACCGAAGTCGATGTTTCAAGATGGTGATACCAAGTGGATTATCGTCTCTGTGTCCGAACACACGATGCTGAATCTCTGCATTACTAACATGGTGTTGTTACTGGATGTCTGCTCACTACCCAGGGTGAGTGCAGGATCAGGGTCCTGCCAGTCTTGTAAAAGTACTTTGCACTTTGAAGGTGCAAAGCATATACCATACCTACGGACACTAATTGCCAACTGATTAGGTGCGAATTTCATGGCTTGGGCATTATCGCACAGTAAGACAATATCATCTGCATACTCAAGGTCGAGAAGTCTTTCTTCAGGCAACAGAACCACACCGCCATTGCTTACATCCATCAGAGCTGTTTCCAGAATGTCATCGATGGCAACTTTGAAGAGGAATGGTGAGATTGGGCAGCCCTGTCTAACCCCACTGCTCGAATGGAACAATGGGGAAAGGTGGTTGTATGTCCTCACTCTACCTGAGGTGTTTGTATATAGGGCTTTTAGGATGTTGATAAACTTCTCAGGCACACCCTTCTTCAATAGACAATCCCAGAGAACAGTCCTGTCCAACAAATGGAAAGCAGCCCTGATGTCAAGAAACACTGCGATTGTTGGCCTATGATAAGTATGAAGAGGTTCTATCATTTGCTGGAGAGTGAACATATGATCAATACATCCTCGACCAGAATGAAAATCAGCCTGTACCTCGCGAGACAATCTTCCTCGGTTTTGAAAAATTTATGAAGTATGATGGAAGCCAATAGTTTGAATACAATCGACATTAGACTTACCTCTCGACAGTTGTTGCATAGGCGATGTGAACCCTTTTTAAAGATAGGGACAACTATCGACTCATTCCATGATGTTAGAACACTCTAATTGTCAGACCTTTGTAAACAACTAAGCCAGTTCCTTAACCAGAAAGCCACCACTATCCTTAAAAAGGACCGGAAGTAAGTCACCTTGGCCTGGTGATTTGTAGAGCTCCAAAAGTTGATGTTCCTTGCGGACTTCCGCCTTGTTTGGTGAATAAGTCGTCAGGGGCCATGCAGGACTGGACAGTCTAGTCGATATTGTCGGGGAAGATCAGTTGGACTGCCACTCAAAAACTCTGCCCATCGTTCAAGGCGTACTTCGTTGATCGGCTGAACAGTCATGTCGAAAATAAATTTTACCAAGTTCTGTGAAACATAAAATCTTGACTATTCAGCTAACAACGCTAATGGAAAATTAAATAGTCTATTTCCATTGGAAAGATGTTTCCGAGTTAATCTTTGTAACAATGATAAGTAATTCATCAACTGTTACTCTTCATAATTATTGGCATGATTCCGTTTATGCAATATACAATCCGGTATATTTCACATAGTTTATTAACATTATGTCCTGTGTGTTATATTATGGGACGATGGAAAACAAAATCTACTGACAAGTAACTTGAATATGAATGTATTGTTACAGATTTTACTGACAATTTATTATTGAATTCTGAAACAATTCAGCAATTCCTTAAGTAATCGTTGAGTATTGAACTAACAACAGGGCGAAAAGTCGTTTGCCTTCAGAATAGATTATTTATAGTGTTAGACAATGTATATCTAACGCTGACTTGCCGACTACCGAACATTTTTGAAATTACGCAACATTTCCCAAAACCCTGAATTCTGTATTGAAATTGTCATTCGAATTTTAACTAAATCAAACGAGGTTAAACGATCGATCATTGTATGCGTCAAATGCTTTTGAATAAATTTGTTTTCCAAGGAATTCTGTTTGATAATTATTAATTCACACAAGTATTGGTTCATGCTTAGTGGATATCGTATTTATCCATTACTTAACGAGCAACTCATGGCAGGTGAATAAAAACTACAAGTTTTAATATCACCATTCGTATGTAATGAGCCATGTAGCGGAAGCATCGAGTTGATCTACAAGTTTTGCGTAAAATTTGCAACCTTCTGTATTTATTTTAATTATCATTCTTGAATTTTTGGCTTAGTTTACAATTTTGTTCAAGGGTTCGTCTCAGGATAACAAATTTCTGTTGTATGGAGTAATCTAAAATATATGATCATTATAAAACCAAACACTGATTTACTTGTTATGATGACTTATTAACATCAAGTTCAGTTAATGTTCATCAGTCACAAACTTTAGTTTATTCGGCAATCACACTTCTTAAGTTTTAGTAAATTACCAAATCTATCAAAAGTGAAGTAGTGTACATCAACTAGGAACTAAAACGTGATATTTACAGTGTTTTCTAAATCTATATGACTTACTATCTAGTAGTTTATTTTAGAATTTATTCATTGTTCAATCCTATGAAAGTCATTAAATGTTTTGTTTTTCATTAATACTTCACTATAATGTAGTACTTTTTTTAAACGATCTATCGGCGAGACTATAATTTATGAATGAACCAATCAGATATAAGATAACAAGTTTTGGATTTTGGCGCGAGATTTATTCATCCACTTGGCTAAATATAATTTTTGGCATTATAGCTGATGTCAGTTCGTGATGAAAATCATCAACTGTGATTCCTAATTCTAATTCCTCGCCCATGTTTATAACCCTCATTTGTTCATAGTTAGTAGGCGGGTATTCTCAAAGTCACTGGCCTCGCTCAAGGGACATCTATAAATTACAGTCCCATCGATCAATCTTGACTTGTACTTAAATTAAATCTGTTAGCTTTGTTATTTCGATTTGCCCTTGGTTTTTAATTGAAAATATTAACAAATTTATACATTAATACGAAGTCAGTAAATGTATTATTCATGATAACAGGCGTAAAGTATTACAATTAAATGACCAAAAATAGTTTTTATGGTTTCAGATAGATAACAGTCTGTTTCTATATTAAATAATCCACAACTTGTTATCATTGTGCTAGATAATGATGATTTTCCTTCTGGGTAATTTGCTTGTATTACATAAACAATTAGTTTATATCGGCCTCCATTTTTAATATCGAACGCTTTCATACGCATTACAGTCGTTTGACGTAGTCGATTAGTTAAATTACATAAAAACTCGTTCGACTGTGATTCTTGTCTACTTCTCACGTGATTATTTTTATCACCTTTGTAGTTTGACATAAATTGTTCAAGTACCTTATGGATGAAATGTAAATATGTATCTAATCAGTGGTGTAAAAACAATTTTATCGTGTGTACACTGTTTTGAATAAGTATCCCATAGACATACTTCACATTGTGTTGGGAATATATACTCACGACATTCAAATTTACCACTTATTAGGCAATAAACATTGTTCAAATAGGTTGCATCGGAATAGGCTATTATTTCATTTGTGGAGTACAAATTAATAACCAATAGTTTCTAAACTTCCCTTTAGTTCTAACTAACTTGTAGTTAGTGATGCTAAACAAATGGTGTACAATTACAAACTTTTGTAATGAAACAGTATTTCTACTGCTGTAATAAACAAGTGACATGAATGAAATACTAGCATAGAAATTAGTCTCGTAAAACATAATATTTAGAAATATAGATTATGAATAGATTTTTATGTCCTAGACAAAAGTATAAGAAACTGTGGTTCCTTTATTAAATCTCAAAGTACCAGTCCTAATTTATTTTATGATATATTTTATCAATAATAGAAGACTTAGTTAATAAAACCATAGATTCGATCTAAGCTAAATCACCTTTGAAACCTGGTGGTCGTTCCATCCTAGTATGGGACTTCTCAGCAGTTAGACATTAACACTGTTGCATCCCAGCTCAGTGGTCTAGAGGTTGTGTTCGCACGTGAGGCCGAAGGTCCGGGGTTCGAATCATGAGTGCGGGATGATGAATGCTCACTGTCAAGGGGTTCCATACTAGGATGAGACGGTTGTCCAGTGCTTTCAGATATTCAATTTTGGTTTGGCTTAAATGGATTCATGAACTCAACTGTTGGAAGT